TGGAACGTGCTAAGCTGCCACTGGTTTTGTTAATTTTAACAGCAAAGTTATATACCGGTACAGCTTACACAGTGTTAATGTGTCGCCTTGAAAAATACCTAGCCGACTTTTGGCTTGAATGGACTTACAGTTAAGAACCACCCACAAATTATCGCGGCGTGTTTTGCTTGCGCATTCAATTCGGCAATTCCCATCTTCAGTCTGAGGCTCACCCAATTCCCAATTGAGCTATGGCGGCACTAAATCAAAGATGTGAATTACTACATAGTATCTGTTAACGGGATTTTGCTCAGTGCAACACTAATTCAATTTTCTGAACCAAACGTGAATGTCTATCATAGATACTCTCTGGCAGGTACAACGAACTGTAACTCTACTCCTTATACCGCACTTTTCAACGATATTCCCGCAGGTACACTCGACTAATTTCATTGCACTCAACACGAATGCGTTGGGCGATCGATATTTTACGGAAAACCACAGGTGTAGGAACACTTTTCGCATTTTTTATTTGATTAATATTTTACCAAGAACTGTGGGTTAAGGTTACTTGCGGCGGTTTGAATTTATGGCCATGTTCGGAGGATGTGCTGGCAACGGTAACGGGATTTTCTTAGTGTAACACTACAGTAACGGGATCAACTCGCTACACGAAATCGATTTGCAAACCCCTGAAAATGAAGACTGCACTTCGACCTAACTTATGCACTGTAGGTTCCAGAGCGCCGGGGTTCCGAGGTGTCAAGCTCTTCGTGGGGCACGTCGTTGTGCAACCAGAAGTTGACTGCAAGATATTACTACGTAGTGTTAGAACGGAACGGACCCTCGTAATCTGATTGCCAGTTGCCAGTCGCACGGACTGGCATTCCATTCTGTTCCCCAATAGTCGCATCTCATTGGACACGATATATTGTAAAGCCATTCAAATCCTCGAGTCCCAGGTGCGCATGGTGGAGAGTATGAGCTCATGGTCACTAGGACTTCTGATGGCTACGTGCTCACACCCTCAAAAGCATTAACGTAAAAAACCAGTTTAAAATAACTTAACCATGTTAGGATACCTTGGTATGGCCCAATCACACCTCGTTATTTGTTGAAGTCAAACCTGTCACATATGCGTACCCTTACATCTCGTTGATAAAACGCCAATTCAGCGTAGAAGCCGTTGATAATAGTCATTCAAGTTTGGGTTGAAGTACCGTTATCGATACCGGCCATATTGGGTTGGATCTGAGGTTGTGTCGAGTGATAAACTCGATGAACATGTTTCCACACGTGAAGTACATACTTTACAAATCCATAACCTTTTGTAAATTAAATTTAACCTGCTGTTACCGGTTAACCTACTCACAGAAATTCGATGCTTTTACACATACATCTTCCAAGATAAAAAATGTTATCCTTGATTGATTATCAAAATGTGCGTACAATAGTGACATAAGGACCTGCCTTATCAGCCGATAACGACGTTGTCATGTACATACTACTAGTAGCATTGTAAGCTCCAGCGCCGTCTCGGCATGTGCATGATCGACAGGTGCTGGCCATTCTCGATCAATATTACTAGCATTCAGTAACAACATACTATCAAGCATACTTCGCCGCAACTATCGACATTTTGGTTGCCTCCAAAGCGAGGCACGCCAATCCACGCTGTCGGGCTCGGCGCCCACGTCCAAGGCAGTTGGGGCCGCTCAAACGTTGCTAAAGGTCTCTATTGACCAAAAGTCGCCGTGCCTCTGGTGGCGGTGATGCGACGTGAAATTTTGCAGCAGCTGGTGTTAATTACGTTTAGTGCCAAATGGTTGTGAAGAGTGCGAGGGGGCGAAAACGATGGAGTAGTGGAAAATTGTATTGAAATGAGTGTGGTGGTGGGCGGTGGAGTGCAGCGGTGAACTTCTGCATTCGCGGCTGCGCTCCACCGTCACTGCCACCACCATACTACGCACTTCGATGCCCACAGCTGCTACCCTCAACCGCTGCCCACCACACCACACCACCCCACAATCTCCCACCGTCGATGCACTCTACCGGTACTGTCCGCTACCACCTACTGCGATACTCTCCACCGACGCAGGAGTTCACAGTCCGCCACTTCGCTGTGATGCGGCATCACAGCGACGTGGAGGTGGCGGACTGTGATACCTTGTACAGAGATGATGGGCACCAGTGATGCCCATGATCTCTGTATACCCTGCTTTCAAAAGTCTTATTGGCCACATAAATTCCATTTTCAGTAATTCTGATTGGTTCATGACATCGTAGGAGCAGCGCTCCTGCGATTTCGTGTTATTGTTCTGCAGCGTGCAGAGCAATTGGGTCGCGCGTTAGTTTTACCCATTGCAAACACACACACTCTGTGTGTGTGGTGTGTCAAAGGTTCCGATACCTTAGTGGAGGTAATGAGTACTTTAGTGAATGGTAGTCAGTAGGCGCCTCGTGGCGAGTTTAACCTCACTAATGTCAGTGTGTATATTTGCTGCCTTGACGAAGGTCCTGTGGCCGAAAGCCAAAGATATCTTTAGTTCATTGTTGAGCTAATCACTGGAGATATGTACGAGAACATTCCTACGATGAGGAAACGCCAACGAACGCCGAAGAATGATCGCGGTCGCGTGACCGGATCAAGGAGCCGCGAGGACGCGCCACTCGGCGCACCGTTGAGAACCCGTTCAGATCTCCCCGACGACAACAGCTACCTGCTGTCGACGAGTGGCAACCGCCACATGGTGGCTTTTGCACCCCTGCCACAACCCGAGGAATACCAGCTGTCGCAGCGTTTGTCTCAGCTGCTGCTCCACCAACGACTGAAGAAGATCGCGCTTCAGTGCCGTTGCCAGCCGACACAGCTGGTGGCCAGCGCAAAAATCCGCAGTCAGTTGACGTAACGGAAGACGTCGCTCTTCAACGCTTTGTTCCGCTGTAACTGCACCTGAACGGGTCCATGCAGGCACTCACGGGCATCGCGAATGGACGCGATCCATTGCACTGCAGAGCGTTGATCTGCCCCAGATATTTCTGGTACTCGCGCATAAAATCGCGTCTTTCGTTACGTCGGGCTCGAAGACGAGCCTAAACCTTCCCCAGCAACGAAGCCGGTAGAAGCACCACCAGGCGGCAAGCCGCAAGTTTCAAGACGTGAAAGCGGCCGGGAAGAAGCCACCAAGAACATATGAAAACACTTTGACTCACGTTCCGTGAGATATGCGCCTTCACGAGCCGACCACTCAGCGTCGTTTCACGATGCTTACATCCCAGACGCCAAACAAAACCTCGGGGCAGACCACTGCAGCTATCCGATCGCCACCGACGTCAGCGGGTCAGAGCAGCCACCACCGGCGCGTCAAGCCCCTTCCAAATCCGTACCGACTTGAACCTACCTTGCTCTAAAAGGACCGCTGCAAGCGAGGTTGCTACAATTACGCTTTTGTGACTGTCAACCAGTCCGTCCCCGTTTTAGCAGTCCCCCAATCCTGATTCAGGGGGGGTTAGCCCTTATGTATGGCCCAGCAAAGCGTTTTGGGCGTGTTCAAAGCATACAGTATCCGAGCGTTTGCATATATTTGGAAGCATTATTCGTACGGGCATAGTCAGTCTACCCGTTTTGACTAATCTTTGTGTGAGATGACGTTTGTGTGAGTCGAATACCTCAAAAACTGCAATGTTTGCGTAGCTACATGACTTAGCTACCATTGAGAGGGCTTGGTTACAATTTCAATAGTCACACCGCAGTGCCTACAAAATGCGGACGAAATCTTGGAATTTCTGATTATCTTGGCAATTTGTAATTCGATACAACTAACATTAGTAGTATTACTAGAATACGTATGACAACTTCGAGTACAGGAGTACATATCCATGATGTCACAATGAAATATCATAGCGTGGTGGGCGAGTTACCACAGGAATACAGTTAAATAATTGAGGTAATCTATTTTTCGCTGTGTTGTCAAAAGATAATCTATTTTTAAAACATGCGTAAGGGGGAATAAATAAAATATGCCTTTGAAAGGCCCTGCTTGGCTGGCAACGTTCGACAACTTTCAAATGACATGAGATAGATTCATGTTGAACTGTATATTTTTAGTACAGTTGGTACAGTTGGTTGGTTAATAATCACTCTTGCGTGACCGAGGCCAGGTTCAATGAATTTTCCAGGGCGTGACTATTGTGTTCCACGGAACCACGGGTTTCGTATACCAGTCGATGAACATACATTCTCATGAATGGCTTCACCAAGTGTACTCATCTATCTCCATTGCCCGATGTAAATACTGATCGTTTTCGGGGGGGCCACCAGTCATATGATGCATAATCAGTAAGTACTACACGAATTTCTGATTATTTTGGCAATTTGTAATTCGATACAACTAGTAGAGCCGTATGTATAGGAGTACTGTAATGGACAGATATCCGTTTTGTTCTGACCCACAACGACATTTGAGAAATAGTCTGATGACAAATGAGCGGTGCAGAAGTCCACAACAAGTCTGTGACTGTAAATGCATACGGAAATGAGAGTATTTCTCCTTTTACCGGTAACTATTGTTATGGTAAAATGTCCTCCGTCAGGACGGGCATTTGGTTCGACGAACAGACTGTAATATAGTCTGTGCTGTACCGCTTCGCCAAGGCTGTTATCCACGTAGAGGTGACGCGAACATACTGTGTTCTGCGTGACATGACTAGTAAAAAAGTGTCCAACATCAACGTTGACAACAGGGATCAATCAACTAGGACCACGAATTGGCCACTCATTCTTCAATTTGCAGTGCCATGAAACCTTCGACCATCATCCTCCTTGGGCTTGCGGCCATGACGACTTCGGTAGAGGCCCACGGTCGCATGCTGACGCCCCCCCACCGTGGCTACATGTACACGTTGCCCCAGTTCTCATTTTTTCCCTCCAATTACGACGACGATGGCCTCAGTGCCGGCGGCATTGGGTCCACCAAGAAGGGGCTGCATGGAATCTGCGGGGATCGGTATTCTGCAGCTACGCCTCGCCCCCACGAAACCGGTGGCAAGTACGGGCTTTTTCCAAAGTACGGGGCCAAAGCCATCGGTGGGTGCTACGCCCCTGGCGCCATCATGGACATCAAGTACCAAATCACGGCCAACCACAAGGGGTACTTTGAGTTTGGTCTGTGCAAACTCAACGGCAAGAACGACGCTGAGACCGAAGCTTGTTTCCAGACCCTTTCGCAGCCCGATGGTCAAAAGCAATGGTTTCTGCCGGCGGGGAACAAGATCTTTTCGCTCCAGTACCAATTGCCCAGTGGCGTCACGTGTGACGGCGACTCGCATTGCGTCCTTCGCTCGTGGTGGGTTGGCGGCAACAACGCCGACGTGGGCATGGATGGCCAGGAGCAGTTTTGGAACTGCGCCGACATTTACATCAGCAACAATTGTGGGGCGACTCCCCCTTCTCCTTCGAGCGGTCCACCTACTCAATCCCCATCGACCACTACCAAACCTAACGCTACGAACACTGTCAAGCCAGCCATTACCACCATCGCCCCGCAACCAACATACGCACCAAGTCCATCGACGGCTAAGCCTACTTCGTCTGTACCCCAGCCTACATATGCCACCACTACGCCACCGTCTAAACCAACCTCCCGTCCAACTCCTTCAAACCCGAAAACCACACAACCCAGCTACCCCACTCAACCCCCGGCTACTACGTCGTCCACCGACCCCACGAAAGTCCCCAGCCAGTGCGGTTCGTGCGCTAACTGCTACTACGCTTCCAATAACGCTTGCTTTATCGGGTGGAGTGCTAGTCAATGTGCCATGCAACCTCTGTTCAAATGGTGTGGACCTTCGAATGTGTAAACGCGAGGGCCTGCGGAAGTGTCGCCTATGTTGATTTCCCTTCATGGCCAATGTGATCGTCGCCACTACACTGGACCGACGAAGTGTCAAGACGACGCACAATGTGTGAAGTTGGATGAATACTTTCAGAATGTGTGGCCAAGAGTGCCCTATAAATAAAAGATTGACTATTTTGCCACGTAACGTCGCAGATCTGGTACTTGTCAACAGGCCTACTTGACAACGATCCCTACTAAGGGACCCTATTTTCCCTTATGGTGGCTTGAAGCTCGCATTGCAAATTCAATTTTTTTTGTTGATGTGAACAACCTGTGCATCCCAAAATCGCTGGTTTACAAGCCGAAACAGCAATATCTCCACATCGACAGGATACAATGGTCTGTAAGGATCATTTTGGTAGCAAAGAACAAGTAATATTCGATGTGGCCAAGATGAAAGAAACGTCGACGAATTGCCGTCGGCGACGCTTTGGACTCAGTATGGAAAGGACAAAGCTGGAGGCATCCTCGTCACCAGGCAACAACACAGTGCAGTGTGGTACTGGAGGTGCATTGCAGCCAGCCAATTTGTCCGTTTGTGGCATACCCAGGAGTTCGCCAATGCAGTAAAGATCATTGCTTTGGGGTGAAGCGAACTCCTGGCTATGCCACAATAAATAGGGTGATTGGCATTCAACTAACACTACATTGCTATTTGAGGTTTGCCTGGATTGGCACCGAGCGTATGGTTCATTGGAGGTACTGTATAGCCGAAATGGACTTTACCCCAAAGCAATGAATTGACGAAAACTTGCTTGGTATACTAGTATAAAGATACCCTCACCGAATACGACACTTCCTTCTTCCTGGCACAATTGGTCCGAGTAGTCTGCATGCGCAACTCCGGGTTAAAATAGTTTTTCTTTGGGCCGCTTATATTATACTTCGAAGTACTTACTGTTAGGGAAATAATCTGTCCTTGTACCATACTTATTTTCCATGGGCAGGAGGCACCCCTATTTGAATACTAGTATAGGGAAAAAGGGGGAAATGATCTTCCCTATCCTTATGGGTTTCCGAGGCCTGCAAGTCAAGCCGTTAGAAAAGTCGACAACCCGTGAGGGTGGGAAATCGAAGCCCATTCTGACGCATCCATCCATGCCGATGAGTGGCTAGCTACAGTATCTGTATGGCTAACGCTAAATCTGGTTTGACGTAATAGTGGATGAACTGCAAGTGGACACTCAGAGTGGTGTCGATGGTTTCCCGTGTTTCTGCGCTGGCTTGCACAACCAGCTACTTGACGACAAATCCTAAAAGTGAACTTCATTATCAATTAACACTGTAAGTTCTTTTTCTCTTCACAACAAATCATCTACTACCGGGTACAGTCAACCTCAGCCAGTGAATCACTGGGTCGGATAACCATTACTCACACCTGGCCCCGGAGGTTGGTCAGATCGGTTACACACACTCATGCACGTGTAGGCGACACGTGACGACACCGAGAACACCCCGACTAGGCCAGCCGCTGTACTAGTACTATACGGTGAATGCGCTGGTGCCATGAAAAAGCTCTAAACGATTAGTTCTTGCCCCCTAGTCAATACCATGTACTATGCAGTAGCCCTCTTTAGCTTTTCACAAATTCCAACAATAATGACTTACTGTTGACAGTCCCCGAACAACAGCAACAACCTAAAGTGGATACATGTACGGCAGTCGCCTACATGTCTTATTCGATATTCCAGAGAGCACAAACACGAATACCAAACATGCTTTACACGAGATTTACAAGCTACGTTAGCACTTGCCACCGGTGCACAAGGCATAGATGCGAC